AGCCCTGGTCTTTCGCGGCAGGTTTCGCGGCAGGCATTGCAGTGGACGTCCCGGTCCAGGGGTCCTCGAGATCTTGAAGATTGACGGGGTCTGCAGGGATGGCGGCCGGGCAGGGTGGGTGGTTGCGGCCCGCTCTCGGGCTGCGCCTGCTGCTGGCGACTGCGTTTCAAGCGGTAAGTGTGGGGTGCCCCCGTGGCTGCCTCAGGGCCGGTCGGAGGGCTCGGATGGGGAATATCAACCCCGCGGTCACGCAGGGGACCGCCCTTGGAACGGGCTTCCTTAGTGCCGCTTCCATCCGGGATGAAACGTGGCAGACGGAATTCCAGCCGGAGCGCTAGAGGCGATGGTCTGCTCACCTCAGGCACATAAAATCGATTTTTCAAGAAAGCAGTGGGTACATAAAGTCAGTAATGCTTAGAAAGGAGGGAAGTTTCTTTTAACGGGACAGAAATGAATGAACCTACCATTGCTTACGACAAATACTCCCAAACTTAAAGGGACATCTTCGTGGGTTTCTTCATTAACAAAAATGCATGGATTCTGAATCTCTCAAAGGAGAAAGCCTAATTTTGACTTTTTTAGCTGCTTATGAAACAACTATTGGTAAACTCCTTTATCGAAGTTTGCAATCCATATTTACATGTCTTCCACTTAGGGTATTTGATTTGTCCAAAATTTGGAAAGTTAAGATTATGCCATAGGTCTGTAAATACTTAGACTTTTTCATACAAAGAAAGTAATTTGCAAACTTTGTGTCTTCTTTTGTTACTTTGTCCAAAGGATAGACTCTTGCCTTCTCAGATTGCAATACAGTATTGTTTTTCAAGCTCCTGGTGCTTAAGAAATTGCCGGGCGTTGGTGGCACACTCCTTTAATCCCAGCACTCGGGAGGCAGAGGCAGGCGGAGACCAGCCTGGTCTGCAGAGTGAGCCCCAGAACAGGCTCCAAAACTACAGAGAAGCCCTGTCTTGAAAAAGAAAAATTACTTAGGCCCTAAGTCTTAGAGAAACAACCGTGGAAACTATCCGTAGACTCCAGAGATAAGTGGATTGTTTGTTTTTCCTCCCATCATAGGCCATTTGAATTTGTTAGCACTACCACAAGTCATAAAGGAGTAATGTTTCAAACTACCTTCAATATTCAATGACTTCGTAAGAACTCCTCACCCCCAAAATCAAAAACCCGAAATCAATGTTTTAAATAATGTAACCATCTTTTAGGCTGGTGGAGCAGTTCCGTCATGTATGCACTGATTTGAGCTAGTCAGTTAATTTAATGAAAACTCTAAAGCTACAATAACTCATAATCAGTGCCATTAGCTGGGACCATGTAGTTCCTCTGCTTCTAACCTCTCATCTCCCACTAGACTAGACTACCTTCTTTTTCACAACAAACTCAGGGCAACACTCCAGAAGAGCAAAAGCTTACAGTCCCTCCTGTATGAGGGACTTGCCATGGAAATCCCATAACCCTCCTGGGAGACAAAGGCTAAAAATAGAAAGAAGATGTCCCACTGTCTAAACTCCACGTTATACTTGTCAAAGGAGTCTCAAGAGAAAGCCACAGGTAAATAGACTCCACTGCCATATGAGAGAAGTGACAGAATTGCATTGCAGACGAGTGTTCAGACCAGGATAGGAAGAGTTTAGGGCGAGTTGTTGCCATAGTGACCATCCACCTATTCTAACTCAAAACTCGGATGTCATTTCTGACTCCTTCCTTTATGCACCTCACATACTAGCAATTACCAAGCCTTCCTAATTATTACTTCCTATGTATGCCTGAAGACCAGTTTGATGCTTGTTAATCTTTCAGTCACACAGGACCTTTCTCCTGAGAAGTAACAGAATTGCCTTTTTCTATATTAAGATTCCAAATAAAATTTGCCTTTACCAGCTTTCTAATTGCCCAAGCCAAAAACGTGTTCCCTTAAATTCTTCATATTTTCACTCTTTGGGTCGAATTTAAGGTCATTAAGACCTTGAAATTTTCCAAGCCAGTCACTTAGTTTTGTTGCCAGAGGTAATTCAGGCCAGTATATCCGCGTACCTGGAATTACCATTAACTAGTTTCCTTATCTAATGTCTCTCTGATTCCACCCAATACATCTAGAGCAGTCGTTCTCAACCCCCCTAATGCTGCAACCCTTTAATACAGTTCCTCGTATTGTAGTGACCCCCAACCATAAAATTACTTTTGTTGCTACTTCATAACTGTAATTTTGCTACTATTACAAACTGAATGTAAACATTTTTCACAGGGATTATTCAACCCTCAAAGGGCCGTGATCCACAGGTCCACAGGTTGAGGACCTGGATCTAGAGTAATATTTCTGAAATCTAAATCTATTGTGCTTCAAACTTCCACTTGTTTTTAAGAGAGTTTGCCTTAAGTGTTCCTTAGCAAGTCGGTTGGTAGTCTACCAGCTTTTTCCCCAGTATTTGCTTCTTCCACTGGGAGACGAAAGGGGTGAAGAACTGCTGATAGCTAACTCCAGCAAATGTCATGTAGTTGGATCTCCTTCAGTAGCACTTTCCCCTATGCCCATAAAAGTATGATTGTCTTCTACCTACCATCTAATCCTCCGTTCATCATGTGGGTCAAAAGTGTGATTTAGGAATCGAACTCGGGTCCTTAGACTGGCAGCAAGCACCTTTACCCTCTGAGCCATCTTGCCACCCGTCAGTTTCCAGTTAAGAAATTACTTACTCCAGGACATCAATCTCTGAGCACAAACTTGGCTAGGAGCCATTCTGTGTATCAGTGGCAATCACTACTTCATCTCTTAGGTACCTTTCAGTCTTCTATTGTAATGAAATTTGTCATTTTCCCACAGGGCTGACTGGCTCTCACCTTAAGGAAGGGTCGGTTCCTGGTTATCATTTGTCTACTGACAGACACAGAGAGAGATGCAATATCCTGAAATCTTAAGTAACGTAGTTGATGAGTGAACTAGCGAATCTGCATGCTAAGGTCTGATAGTGCCGACAGATGACCCCTTGTGAATTATCGACCACCTATTCCAGTTAGCTTCCTGTAGCTCTGTCGTTACAGTCCCAACTGAATGTGTCGTTGACAACTGATGCTGCAGGTTAGTGAAAATCCACCTCTATTCGCACTCAACTTGCCTGATAATTACATGATTCTTGATACTAAATATATACTAGACTGAAACCTTTTAATGACAGATATCAACTCCATTCTGTTCTTTGGTGAATGAGAATACACTGTTTTACAGTAATAATCTTTTAAATTAGACAACTATATCATTCCACTCAGGTATTCTCCAAGCCATCTTTTATAATCAAAATCAATTTCTCTCTATAAATTGATAGATATAGATAGACAGGCAGATATGCATATCTATATATGTAGCTATTTACCCCCTCCCCACCCCGTGATACTATGCTATTTAGTTTAAAAAGAACTTTAGGTGAATAGGTCTTCAAATTTTAACTTCTAATAATTGTGAGCTGCCAGGCAGGGATGGCGCATGCCTTTAATCCCAGCAGTGGAGGGTTGGGGGAGGTGGATCGCTATGAGTTCAAAGCCAGCCTGATCTACAAGAGCTAGTTCCAGAACAAGCACCAAAGCTACACAGAGAAACCATGTCTCGAAAAACCAAATAATTATTGTGATTGATTTGCTCTGAATCTTTATTTTCTTCTGTTGGTTCTCTGTGAAGTGACTAACTAGAATGTAGTGCTTAACTTCATCTACTTTAAAGACTTAGAAAGTCAGAGCCAGGCATGCTGGTACCTCCTGAGTCTGAGCTACTACTTATATCACAACATTCAGAAGGCTGAAATGAGAGGGTCAGACGTTTGAGACTAGGCGGGGCTAAATATAGCAAGTTATGATCTAACCTAGGCTGCATAGCAGGACTGTCTCAAAGGAAGAACCAAAAGGCAAAACTTGAGTCAAAAGTAATTTCTCCCTCTTGTATACTCTCATATACAAGCTTATACTCCTTATTATGTCATACTAGTTTATACCCCGTGTTACATCATACTTTCTTATACCCCGTGTTATGTCATACTAGCTTATACCTCGTGTTATGTCATACTAGCTTATACCTCGTGTTATGTCATACTGGCTTATGCCCCGTGTTATGTCATACTGGCTTATGCCCCGTGTTACGTCATACTGGCTTATGCCCCGTGTTACATCATACTGGCTTATGCCCCGTGTTATGTCATACTGGCTTATGCCCCGTGTTACGTCATACTGGCTTATGCCTTGTGTTATGTCATACTGGCTTATGCCCCGTGTTACGTCATACTGGCTTATAGCACGTTGCACTTACCCCATGTTCTTAACAGATCATAACTGGCCAGATTATAGCTGCGCAAGTGTCTGTCCCTCTGTTTCTCCTGCCAGAGTACTCGCCAAGAGAATACAGGGACTACTTTCCTTTAGTTTTTACCATATCTAATGTTTTTTCACTTCCAGCCTCAGAAGTGCAAATGGCCTCCCCTTTTCTCCCTGCTTCTGCAGAGTGGTGATGAACCATAATCAGTCCCCAAAGTTAGAGAAAAACCTTACTGCCCAGAATCCTGGTTAAGACCGTAGACATGTCACCCTTGACAAACTC